GTATTATCTCGCCCGATGGAAAGTAACGATAAAGCCGAAGGTGGTAAAGCACATTGACTTACCTCGACCAAAGCCAATTCCTACGAATTTTTGCTTATATTTATTTTTGTAAAGCAATTTTTAAAGTTATAAGTCCCTACTAAGTACCTAAGTCCGCTGAGTACCTAAGCGGGAGACCTTGTGAGAAGAAGCAACAAGAAACTCACAAGTAGACTTCTCCCAATCTTACAATTCACCCTTATGAAATATAATATTATTGATTACTAAACCTAATACCGAGAACACATTGAACACCCCTCTTATATTACGTGAAAGTGCATAAAGCCATAAGCGGTTATTTTTCAAAAAGTATCAAGTTTATATTTATGTTCAAATGTATTAATAATGATATACTATTATTGCAGTTTTTGAAAATGTCAATGAGTAAATAATCCTTCTACTTTTATTTGTAATTATCCCAAATTTAATGTGATTTATGTGCAAAAAGTAGGCGTGTACGCGTGCTCCTCTGTGTGCGATTCATATCACAACGTTTTGCCGCCCGTACGACCCATTCGTAAGGATAAAAACTATTTCAACAAGTACTTATTTACAAAAAATTATTTACGTAAAGAGCGTTAAAAATCTTAAAAATTCAACGGCCTACAACGTGCTTGCCCCGACTGCGTATTTCACCATGGGTACGTCGCGATTGTAGGTAATTATTTCGCGCAGGTAGCAAGAATGACAGAGGTCTGAAAAGGGAAGTAAGTTACCTACTAAGGTAAGGTACCTATTCTGACTATGATCAACTGACCATATTTTCGCAATAAGTAACTTTCTAACTAAAAATAAATATTGTTACGAGCTTAGGGTTCGTGACAATAAAAACTGCCGATTAAATTACCAAAATTGACACTTGTGGTTGTCGATTTTCAAATAAAACTTTAATATTGTTTTATTCTAATATATAATTCACAGACTTTCTGCTTGAGGCAATTATATAACTTACAATGATTCTAGTCAGCGTCCTGCTTTTGTTTTTATACCAGCATTATTCGGTTTACAATTATTCATAAACGGAAATAGTTTAAAATCACCTACATTATTTATTACATCCGGAATCTTATTTTATAATGTAATTACAAACTTTTATCGTACTTAAAAATTGAATATACTATAAATCAAGTAATAATGCATTTATTTAATCAAGTAATTTTGATTAAGTTAAATTTATTTAATCAAGTAATGTTTAATGATAAGAGGTTTAAGTAAATTTATATAATTATGGCTGAGGACGTGAAACATTGGCTAACACACTTTAAATACCGAACACCAATTAAAACTTAAAACACACTAATAATAATTAATCACACACATTTTAGTTCACTTCATTTCGCTCCGAAGTCTTCACTTGTCTCGCCAATTCAATACTGCCCCGGCCGCAGCCCTTAACGCCTATTACAAATGCCTATATAGGCCTCTTCCACTGAAATTCGTACGAGTAGAATGTCGAAAGTTCTAGCAAGGAATTTTCTAGAAAGCTCTCCAGTTCTGCTACTAGATACTAGATGGCGCTAGTGGCATAAATTATGGCGTGCAAGAATATGAATTAAATTCACCTTTCATAACTTACTAATAAAATCCTTCGGTAAATTAAAGATATGTAGATCTGAAAACTGTTGTTGGTCGTTAAGCGTCGATCAACGCAACAATTATAGTAGGAACGACGTTTTGCCTTTATAATTTATTAAATAGAAAGGTAATCGTATATACACAATATATATATATATATATATATATATATATATATATATATATATATATATATATATATATATATAATTTTGAAATTACATTAAAACTTTTTTAACTATTTTATCCTACAAATAAATATACCAAACACTTTACAAAAACTATTTCAACAAGACTAAGTACCTATTTACAAAAAACTACGTAAACTGCGTACCAGTAGTGTAACGTAAAAAAACTGCCTCGTGGCCTAGTGGTCGTAAACGCCATTGCTGATCAAGACGTCTTGGATTCGAATCCCGGATCGAGCCAAAATGTCCTTGTTTCCGGTTGGTTGGTCCTACGCCTGATCTCTCTCCGGTCATGTCGGATAACTGTTTAATCGGACCATGAGAGTTAGGGAATAGAAAATGCACTTGTGCTTGCAAACACTCGGGAACTATAATTCTGTAGGTGCGACCGAAATTTAGTCTGAGGGACATTAATAATTACAATTTTTGGTGTTTATTACGAAAAGCGCATATTTTTCTAGCGCGGCATCAGGTTTTTTTCTTATCCACAATGCCGCCCCATGAGATCTGCCTCACGGAGCCGCGGCCCACTAGGTATGGCCTTCTAGTCTGACTTGAAGACCGATTGTAATTTCGGTTCACAGAATGAAAAATATAGTTGTCTTTATTTTAATAGTTGTTTTGTATTTAGGCCTAACCTCCACGATTTAGGCGGCAAATAGTGACGTCATTCATTCATTCATTCATTCATTACAGCCTGTCAAAGTCGACTGTTGAATATAGGCCTCACTTACCTATAAATTGCTTCAAACGAGGGAAAGTTACCACTGCTGTTTACGTGGTAGAGCCATGCTGTAGCTATATTAGCAGTATAGTTGTAGCATGAATGGGTCAGCACGACCGGGGAGGGACCACGCTCTAACAGAAAACATGCGTACAATACTGCTTAAAATTGCGTAATATAGCAGCTTAACGCTGCTGTGGTTTGTATGGTGAGTGTAGAGAACCGGAGACCCTACTTACAGGAAAGGAGGCATTCCAACTTAGTACTCAAGGGTAGCAACGCATCTTTTTTTCGCATTTTTTTTCGGAATCGAGGATATATGTAGATGTTTGTTGGCTACAGTAACCACTTACCATCAGGTGGACTGTGTGCTCGTTTGTCACCTTTATCCTATAATAAAAACCGACATGGAGGTCATAAATAATAAGTATGATTTACTTTAAAATACAAATTCATTGAGGGCAATGATTTTGATAAATGAAAATTCGTCAACTTGCTGTGTACTGTAGCGGAAGAAAGGTTTTTGAGTGACACCTGACAGCTCACTAGTAGGTAGTAACAAGTTTTATGACAACCTTTGTGACTATTTTCAACAGTGTACTTGTAATGGTCTGTAATGATATTGTTAATTAGACATTAGAACAATTGAGAATTGAGAGGAGGCCGGTGAACCGCTTGCCACTGCTTATTACCAAAAAAGTATATCATCATTTTCGCGTAGTTAGATGAAATTTAAGGTATTAAAATTTTGTTGATTGGCAACTGTTTGCCCATATACAAAATTACGAGAAGTTGAAAAAAGCCCGCAGTTACAACCATAGATATAGGTATATTAGAGAAAATGTAACTTTAATTTTCAGAATGAAAAGTGTCGCCCATGTTGATTTACAATGCAAATTAATATATAAATTATATTAATATTAAAAATACGTCGAAATTATTTAAAAACGATTGAAACGAGTGAATATATTATACATCATCATCATCATTACAGACCTTCACAAGTCCACCGCTGAACATAGGCCTCCCCCACGTAATGCCACAAAGCACGGTCCTGAGCCACCTGCATCCTTCGACTTCCTGCATGTGTTACCAGGTCGTCACTCCATCTAGTGGGGGGTCGCCCTACACTACACCTGCCGGTACGAGGCTGCCATTCAAGAACCTTTTTTCCCCATCGGTTATCGGTTCTTCGAGCTATATGGAAGGCCCACTGCCACTTCAGCTTACTAATCCGTTGGGCTGTGTCGGTCACTCTGGTTCTACTGCGGATATGCTCATTTCTAAGTTTACCACGCAGAGAAACCCCGAGCATAGCCCTCTCCATAAGCTCGCTGAGCGACCTTGAGCGTCCTTATACGGCCAGCAGTGTAGGGCCACGTTTCAGATCCGTAAGTCTTCACTGGCAACACGCACTGGTTGTACAATCTAGGTTTTGAGGTATACCTCCAGCGCAACTTGTCTATCTCATCTTTCAGCTCCAGACTCTTCTCGTCAGTCCTCAGGGTGCGTTCGTTATATGTTGCCATGTCGAGTCGTTGTAGGTGGCAATCGAACCTCCACCGGAAATTCTTAGCACCCCCTGTCCCGAATAGTCGAATACTTGCTATTATTATTCGACATAAAAAAGGAATATACAAAATAATTTATGTGAACTCTTGAACTTACCTATCATTTATTTGTTACTGTTATCATAAAAAACTAAGACTATGATTTCTTAAATTTACGCGAACACTACACATTGAATAAAACTAAATTTACGGATTTTATCGCGTTTATTTCACTACTTTTACTTATTTTTAATTCCCGACGTTTCGGGTGCTTTACAGCAACCATGGTCACGGGGGGGGGGGGGACTGAGATGTTTGACGTCCCAATGTCATAGTTAGTCCGGCTACCTTCAGTTTTTGAATATTAATTTTTGGTCCGATTTACGCAAAACGAGCTTATAGTATCATGAAGTCTTGCAGTGGTATGCTTAGGTTTGGGTTTAATTTTGTTAATTATAGGATCCCAAGCAGGTGGCAGCACCCATCCATCTTCTCTATTGAAATTTGGATGTTTTTTAATTTCAATAGCCTCGCGTATCATCCTTGGTAGGAATCGGTGTTCTTTTGCGAGAATTTGTGGTTTATCAAAACGAATGTAATGGTGGGGACGATCTTGAACATGTTCGCAGACTGCAGACTTCCCGGAGCGTCGGTGCTTCACGTCAGCTATATGTTCTTTCACGCGGGTTTTTATGGATCTTTTTGTTTGACCTATGTAAGAGAGACCACATTCACAATCTAACTTGTACACTCCTGCATCTTGTAGAGGGATATTACACTTGACGGATGGTAAAAATTGACTAATCTTCTTCGGCGGCTTGTAGTATGTTTTAATAGAAGCTCGCTTCAAGATGTAGCCAACCTTGTCTGTGACTCCTCTGACATATGGTAGCACAGCAGGTACACGCTCGACTGTGGCCGGCTTCACTCGGTCACTGTGACGTAGGCGCGGGACCCGAAGCTTGTTGTCTTGCAATACTTGCTTGACATGCTGAAGTTCGGCGGCCAGATGTTTTCTGTCACAGATCCCTCGTGCTCTCTGAAACAAAGATTTACCCACGGTAGCTAACTGTGAAGGATGATGGTGAGATTCACCATTTAAATATCGGTTGGTATGGGTCTTTTTTCTATACACAGTGTGACCAATTGTGTTATTAGGATTTCGAATGACTAAAACATCTAAGAAAGCTAAAGAATTATTTGCCTCTAACTCCATTGTGAATTGTATTTTAGAGTTTATAGAGTTAAGGTGGTTTAAAAATGCAGTTACTTTGTCAGATGGTAAAATTGTGAAAGTGTCGTCTACGTACCGCTTGTAGAATCTTGGATTTACAGGAGCAGTAAGAAGGGCTTTCTCCTCGAAGTCCTCCATGAATATGTCAGCGACTATGGGAGATACAGGTGAGCCCATCGCCACACCATCTACTTGCTTGTAGAACTCTTCCTTCCACAATAGGTAGCCAGATGTGAGGCAGTGTTTGAGTAATACTGAATATTCAGCAAGCATGTTATTATATTCTAGCTTCCTAGTTACAATTGATTTGCAGTCTTCAATAGGTAGGCATGTGAATAGTGACTGAACATCAAAACTGACCATAGTTTCATTGTCAGCGAGATGTAGGTCTTTTATCTCACTAACAAAATGGTATGAATCCTTTGTGTGTGCTCTGGTATGTCCTCTCAGTGGTAACAGTACTTTTGCCAAGTGTTGTGCCAGCTTATAAGTTGGTGAATCGATCTGGCTCACTATAGGACGTAGTGGAGCGTTTGGTTTGTGTATCTTTGGTAACCCATACAACCTCGGTGGTTTAGTACATGATGGTATTAGCGAATTCACGTCGAGATTTAATTTTTCGGAGTGTTTCTTTATTAAATCGCTAGTTGATTTAAGGGTGTTAGTTGTGGGGTCTGTTTTGACCTTTTTGTATGTACTTTCGTCCGATAAAAGCTGTAGTATTTTAAAATTATAGTCTGACGTGTCCATTATTACCGTAGCATTTCCTTTATCGGACGAAAGTACATACAAAAAGGTCAAAACAGACCCCACAACTAACACGCTTAAATCAACTAGCGATTTAATAAAGAAACACTCCGAGAAATTAAATCTCGACGTGACCTTTTTGTATGTACTTTCGTCCGATAAAGGAAATGCTACGGTAATAATGGACACGTCAGAGTATAATTTTAAAATACTACAGCTTTTATCGGACGAAAGTACATACAAAAAGGTCAAAACAGACCCCACAACTAACACGCTTAAATCAACTAGCGATTTAATAAAGAAACACTCCGAAAAATTAAATCTCGACGTGAATTCGCTAATACCATCATGTACTAAACCACCGAGGTTGTATGGGTTACCAAAGATACACAAACCAAACGCTCCACTACGTCCTATAGTGAGCCAGATCGATTCACCAACTTATAAGCTGGCACAACGCTTGGCAAAAGTACTGTTACCACTGAGAGGACATACCAGAGCACACACAAAGGATTCATACCATTTTGTTAGTGAGATAAAAGACCTACATCTCGCTGACAATGAAACTATGGTCAGTTTTGATGTTCAGTCACTATTCACATGCCTACCTATTGAAGACTGCATATCAATTGTAACTAGGAAGCTAGAATATAATAACATGCTTGCTGAATATGCAGTATTACTCAAACACTGCCTCACATCTGGCTATCTATTGTGGAAGGAAGAGTTCTACAAGCAAGTAGATGGTGTGGCGATGGGCTCACCTGTATCTCCCATAGTCGCTGACATATTCACGGAGGACTTCGAGGAGAAAGCCCTTCTTACTGCTCCTGTAAATCCAAGATTCTACAAGCGGTACGTAGAGGACACTTTCACAATTTTACCATCTGACAAAGTAACTGCATTTTTAAACCACCTTAACTCTATAAACTCTAAAATACAATTCACAATGGAGTTAGAGGCAAATAATTCTTTAGCTTTCTTAGATGTTTTAGTCATTCGAAATCCTAATAACACAATTGGTCACACTGTGTATAGAAAAAAGACCCATACCAACCGATATTTAAATGGTGAATCTCACCATCATCCTTCACAGTTAGCTACCGTGGGTAAATCTTTGTTTTAGAGAGCACGAGGTATCTGTGACAGAAAACATCTGGCCGCCGAACTTCAGCATGTCAAGCAAGTATTGCAAGACAACAAGCTTCGGGTCCCGCGCCTACGTCACAGTGACCGAGTGAAGCCGGCCACAGTCGAGCGTGTACCTGCTGTGCTACCATATGTCAGAGGAGTCACAGACAAGGTTGACTACATCTTGAAGCGAGCTTCTATTAAAACATACTACAAGAAGCCGAAGAAGATTAGTCAATTTTTACCATCCGTCAAGTGTAATATCCCTCTACAAGATGCAGGAGTGTACAAGTTAGATTGTGAATGTGGTCTCTCTTACATAGGTCAAACAAAAAGATCCATAGAAACCCGCGTGAAAGAACATATAGCTGACGTGAAGCACCGACGCTCCGGGAAGTCTGCAGTCTGCGAACATGTTCAAGATCGTCCCCACCATTACATTAGTTTTGATAAACCACAAATTCTCGCAAAAGAACACCGATTCCTACCAAGGATGATACGCGAGGCTATTGAAATTAAAAAACACCCAAATTTCAATAGAGAAGATGGATGGGTGCTGCCACCTGCTTGGGATCCTATAATTAACAAAATTAAACCCAAACCTAAGCATACCACTGCAAGACTTCATGATACTATAAGCTCGTTTTGCGTAAATCGGACCAAAAATTAATATTCAAAAACTGAAGGTAGGCGGACTAACTATGACATTGGGACGTCAAACATCTCAGTCCCCCCCGTGACCATGGTTGCTGTAAAGCACCCGAAACGTCGGGAATTAAAAATAAGTAAAAGTAGTGAAATAAACGCGATAAAATCCGTAAATTTAGTTTTACTAAGACTATGACTATTATCATGGCAACCCTTTTCTTATACGTAACATATTTTACGGGGAATAACCTCATTTTGTGTAAGGGATTTCCCGTCAAATCGGTTTCGCTTACGCTGCGCATTTGTCTTGTCTGTGTCATTCATGCTGAGTTTGCTTGATGTGACGTCGATCGGTGTTTTAATTTTCGTAACGAGAACCAGTGCCTATGTAGGATATTCTTTCTTAATTTAACATTTTAATTGAATTAAAGACTGACTGTAAAGTGTGACTCAAAAAGAATAACAACTATGCCAAATCCCGGAAAAAAATCTCATGTGGGTGTTTTGAGGAGGAAGAATAAAGTGCGAAATTTATTTAGTGTAAGTAGTGTAAAAATTAGTAGAGCAGCTAAAAACGCAGGAGCAACGGTCTTGAAGAATCATTTGAAATTTAAACACCCAGGTAATTATTATACCTAATAATTTTATTTATATTTGGTTAAACCTATATTTACTTTACACAGTGTAGGCAGAGCGTTAGTTAGCCAAGAAGCTAGTTCGCGCCAATTTTAATTGTGTTTGGTTTGGCGGGTCATGAATGGGATAAACAACATTGGTCTGTCTGTTCTACAACAACTGCTAAAGCTCTTAAAACATTTCGAGGAAATAAAAAAATTAACGAGTTCCACATACGCACCTATATTTAGTGTGATACCTAGAACAGTTTCATTAACCAGATACCTAAAGAAAGATGCGTCGATCCAACAAACTGAACATGTTGATAATTTAAGAAAGACGTTGTTAGAAAATATGACACGGATCTGTGCTCTAAAAAGACATATTACTTGGCGACATTTTTAGATCCCCGATACAAGTAGTTTCATACGTGGTAGAGCCATGCTGCAGTTATAGAAGTATAGCTATAGCACGAATGGGTCGGTTCGACCGGGGAAGAACCACGCTCTCACAGAATACCAGCGTAAAATAGTAGCTTAATGCTGCTGTGTTTCGTATGGTGAGTGTAGAGAACCGGATACCCTTTTACTGGAAACGAGGCTTTCCATCGTAGTCCTCACGGGTGTGACAACGCATCTGCATTTTGAATCGTAATCGAGGATAGATGTAGATATTTATGGGCCACAGCAACCACTTACTATCAGGTGGACTGTGTGCTCGTTTGTCACCCCATTATATATAAAAAATAACTTTTTCTTTGACTCTGCCCAAGCTGATCGGGTACGTAGAGTTGCGCTCAGAGAAAGTATCAAACTTTCTTTCCGTGACGACGAAACTGATGATTCCGATCCAGAAATGGCGTCCAAAAGACCTCGCTTAGAAAATGAAAAGGGGGAAGTCGTTTGAGAAATTCACGAACTATTTTGGGCATGTTTCGAAGAATCTAAATCTACGAGAACAGAGCAGCCTAATGAAGAGCAACCCAATAATGCTATTGCTGATGAAATTGACAACTACATCAGGTTAGCAAGTGCTGACGGAAGTATAAGCCCATATGAGTGGTGGTCTTTGAGTACCACTAAGCGCAATCGACTCGATCCAAGTCGTGCAGAAAAATTAGTTTTTCTGCACCACATTCTACTTCTATTAGACTTTGAATGTTAATTAAATAGCCTTATTAAGTTTTATATTTGTTAATAATGATTATATATTAATACTAAGTGCGTTTTGTTTTAAAGATAAATACAAGTAATTATTTTGTCTATCTATAGTTTTTCTGTCCATCCAATATAAGTTTATTTTATTTAGGCAACTATTCGCCGAATATCGAATAATGAACACTATTACTCGCTTTTCGACGAGTAACAAAAAAATGCCGAGTAATGCCGAATACCGAATAATAGCGAGTATTTGCGGCATCTCTAAAAATTACTCTTCTATAGAATTCCTTATGATGTAACCTTATAGTAATAACATACGAGTACATATTATATAGAAGAAGAGCCGTGGTAGCTCAGATGGTTAACGCTCGCTGTAAATATAACAGAACGCGAGTTCGATGCCCGCCGGCACCAATGAAATTGGTAATTTCAATTTTAAGTGCTGATTTACCACGTGCTCGGCGGTGAGGAAACCTTGCATGTCTGAGGAATAAGAAAAAAAATATTTCGAAGACATGTGAAGTTCGCCAACATGCGTTGGGGCAGCGCGGCGGACACTTCTTTGACCTAAAAACCCTCTCAGAAATGAGGGGAGGCCTGTGCCCAGCAGTGAGACGTATATAGGCTGTAACTTTACATATTATATATGCAGATGTAACTAAAAAGATTTTGCCGCGCTATCTAACGCTGATAATGCGAAGTTCTTCGTATCGTAGCAAATGGGATACGGCTGGTATTATATTTACTTTCGTTGATGGCATTCGATAACATCGACACAAATCAAGATAAGTAACATTTCTCACAATCTTAAAAATAATTTTAAAATTTGGTTCATTTTTATTCAGAGTTTTTACCGTAAATAGCGTTTGCGAAAATGCTTGAGAAGTTTGTGTTCTTTTCTATATTAATTGCGTCAAGCGCATTAGATAATTGTGCTGATGGTGAATGTGTCCTGAATCAACATGGAAGAATAATGGGTGGAGATATTACCCAACGCAATTCTAGACCATTTCAGGTAAGCAATTAGTTTTTAGTAAATCCTTTAAAAGTCAAGTGAATTGATGGTAGAGCCATCCTGCAGCTATATTATGGTTGTGGCACGAATGGTTCACCTCGACCGGGGAATAACCACGCACTCACAGAATGCCTGCGTAAAATAGCAACTGAATGCTGTTGTGTTTCGTACGATGAGTGTAGAAAACCGGATACCCTTTTTACTGGAAACGAGGCATACCATCTCAGTCCTCAGGGGTGACAACGCATCTGCATTTTGTTTATTATTGAGGATAATTGTTGATGTCTATGGGCCACAGAATCCACTTATCATCAGGTGGACTGTGTGCTCGTTTGTTACACTTATCCTATAAAAAAAGTCAACTGCTAGACATGGGTTTCTGCCGATCGCAATCTAGCAAAATCTACGAGATCTTTCTACAAATGATTATTTGGACTGTTTGGTTCTTAACTAATTAATAATGATATATATATATAATGGGTCATACATTGTTTGCCTAAGCAGTGTGAGGTCATTTACTGTTTTAAAATAGCACAAAAAGTTTCCTTAATTATCTAAATATGCTTATAATTAATATTCATTTAAAAATACTCATTTTAAATGGAATTATACTCAAAGTACTTATAGGTACATACTGTCTTGTATGAAGGAAATTAGAAAATTCTCCTTGCTTCTGACTTTGTCATCATCATTACAGCCCGTCCCCAGTCAAGTCCACTGCTTGAAATAGGCCATCCCAAAAATGCAACAAAACTTGCTCCTGAGCCGTCTGCAACCATCGATCCTGTATCTCTTACCGAGTCCACACTACATTTAGTGGATACTACCCTGAGCTTAACCTTACACGCTGCACGAAAGCTGGCTTCGAAAATCTTTCTCCCCATTGGTAGTTCGTTTTTCAAGCTATATGGCCGGTCTAAGAATATCTAGTTGAGTAATTAGATATTCTTCAAAGTAACTAACTAACAAACATGGTCCTGTCCGTAGCTCGCTATTCTTACAGCCATTAGCTTTAGCATCTTCATACGGCCAATAGTGAAGGAAGGACCACCTCTCAGACCCATATGTCATCACTAGCAACATGAACTGGTTGTACAATTTTGTTTCCAAGTTTTGCGGTATACGTGACTAGAGGATCTCCCAAACGCTGTCCAGCCGAGGTGGATCCGTCGATTGACCTCTCGGTCGAAGTGTAACTTATCTAGATCTGCAATTATTCCTAGGTAAACGTACTTGTCAACAACTTCGAGCGAAGCGCTGTTAACAACTACCGGCATAGGTACCTTTGTCTTGTCCATGTCTATTCAACTTAGAACTATCCGTTTGGGGACACTGTTGATGTAACAGAGCATAGTGCTGAGTTCTGCCATAATGTCAATGTCGTCGACAAATCAAAGGTATTATTCGTTCATTGATGTGGATGGGATAGGCATCATTTTTAATCCGTTAGCGTAAAAACTCCATACTTTACATTTTTTAGTTCGCGGACTGTGGTGCTTGTTGTTTTACAAAAAGCCGGAAGCCGCGTGTACCGCGTGAAGAATGGCGCTAAATATAGAGATTTTAATAGAAACATTGCAAATTAACCAGTACCAGATCACACAGTGATTAAAAAAGCATTAGGATTAATTGAATAAATATTGCTGAATATAATAAGAGTAATAAGACTTCCTCGCGGTTAGCTATGTTACTCACGACCGATCGTAGTACAGACACCACAGTGACACCGGTGGTGACTCGTTACAGCGGCTAGAGTCGCGGTTCGCGATTAGCCGCCACCGCCAGCCGCTTGTATGTGGGAGACACTTTAAACCTGCCTTCCACAAGTTCAAAATTACGCCTAGTCATCAGTTCTATACCGGTGCAGAGATACAACTGGTGACTGACATAAGTTCTCTTGGACAGCCTTAACAACGTATTATAATTTAGGTAGAAAAGAGAGCTTGAGCAGTTTAAAATCTTTAAGTCACTTCCAGTTAGTCAACCAAAAATGAAAGGTACCAAATATTTCAGTTTTATTTTTACAACCCAAGTTTTTTTTTATTGAGAATATTACACCAAATTCTATTCTATACATAAGTGGTTCTTGCAAAGGCAAGGTCAGCGCCCCCTCGAACCTTGCGCCCTAGACTTTAGCTTAGTTAGCCAGTGGGTAAATCAGGCCCTATCGAAGTAATATAAACGTATTAAATATAAATGACCCAGTAGGTGGATTAAAGGATCACACTTAAA